CTTGCAACCTTGGGCTGATTACTTAATTTCTCTAGAACTTGACTTCCTCTTCTGTAAAATGTGCTAGAATTACCTACCTTACAGGTCTAACAAGAGGATTAAATAAGATAATATATTATAATACCTGGAAGGGAATAGGCTACTACGTAAAGTCCTTTCCTCCTGCCTAACTGTCATGGAATAAAAAAGCAGATTAAAACTAAGTAGGGCATGAATGGAGACTACATTTGTCTCTCCATGTGATGATGGCTTATGTGTGCTTTATTCTTCTGAATAGGCTTTATATCACCTGAAAAGAAATGCATCTCTCCTTCAATGTTCATAAGGGATTAGTTAATTCCAGGATCCCTGGAGCCTTGTAAATGCCAAAATCCACAAATGTTCAAATCCCTGATACAAAATGCCTTCACATTTACATATAACCTGTACACAGCCTCCTGTATGCCTTAAATCATTTATAATACCTTATACAATGTAAATACTGTGTGAATGTTATGCCAGATTATTTAGGGAATGATGACAAAAGGAAAGGCCTACATATGTTCAATACATATATTTCTCTCATTGCCAAAAAAGTTCAGTCTGCAGTTGATTGAATCTAGGCATGCAAAGCCCATGAATACAGAAGGCCAAATTTTCTCCAGAAAATTCATTGGGAAGACTTGTGATTTTCTCAGCAGTCCAGTGATTTCTGTTAGATTCACCTACATGAGACAGTTTTAAAGTTGATTCCGAAGATATTCCCAAATGTTTTCTGTTTTCACAGTACAATGGCAAGACCACTATGAGTTCACAGCCATCCTCCTGTGCCAAGCATTTCTGTTACATCAGTCACTTCCATTCTGCTTTCAGGGTATCTCAGAATAAAAGATTTCATCAAAAGAAAAGAACAAGAGGAAAAGATTATTTATAATTTCTTCACTTTTTGCATTTTTTCATCTTTTCCTGTGTCTATGTGGTATGTGCACATGTGCACACACATGTTCACATGGATGCACAAGTGCATGCAGGTGCTCATGAATGTATGCGCATGTGAGTGTGGCACCTTGAGGTTGATATCAGAAATCTTTCTCCATCGCTCTTCCACCTTATTCTTTGAGGCAAGTTCTCTCGATCAAACCCAGAGCACAGAGATACAGCTAGCCAGCTTGTTCCCTGACTTACCTCTGAGGCTGGAATTACGGGTGGTCTGCCATGCCCATCCAGCATTTATGTGGGTTCTGAGGATCTGAACTTTGGTCCTCTTGATTGTATGGCAAGCACTTTAACTGCTGACCCATCTCCTCAGACCATATTTTATTTTTTAAAGATCCTTGAATCACTTAAAAACAAGGTGTTTGAAGTGGGAAAGACCTTAAAGATGACACATTTCAGTCCTGTCACTTGGCATTGGTGGTGATAAGGCACTCAAGGATTTAGACACACTGGAAACAGGAGCTCTGTCTTAGAATCAGAAACCTGACTTCAATTACTGATTCTTTCTCAATTTTTGTGGCCTTAGGTTACTCACTTCTTCCAAGGTCTCCAGCCCCAGACGAGATAATAATAACCATATCTCAGGGCTGGAGAGATGGCTCAATGGTTAAAAGCACTGGCTGCTCTTGCAGAAGACCTGGGTTCGATTCCCAGCACCCCCATGGTGGCTAACTCAAGTGTCTGTAACTCTTGTTCCAGGGGATCCGACACCCTTTTCTGACCTTTGAGGGCATTGCATGACATAGGTACACTTATATGCATGCAGATAATACATTAATGTACACAAAAAGTAAAAATAATAAAAGCCATATCTCATATCCTGTATGTGTAGTAAGAGGCTGAAGTGAGAGCTTTGTGAACCATAAAACAACTGTTCCATGAAAAGCATCATCATGATTCTTTGCAACCTTGAGATAGGTATGGTAGTGCACGCCTGTGCCTATAAGCTCAGCACGCAGGAGGCTGAGGCAGGAGGCTTGAGACTGAGACTCAAGATCAAGAGGTTGAGGCCAGCCTCAGCTGCATAGTGAGGTCCTGTTAAGAAAAAAAAGGAAGTGAGTAGGAGGAGGAAGGAAGAAAGGAAGAGCCACAATCTCTGAGCTTGTAAAGTGTATCTACTCACCTCCCAACATACAACATGGCATCCTGCATGCTTAGTTCTGTGGATTGTGAAAGGAAAGTGCTGGTGCCTAGCAAAACATATAGTACAGAATAAGTTTACGGTATTTTTTCTGTATTATTTAGGTGATGCTGAGTCAAGAAGATGTTTTGAGTCTTCCTCAGAGAATCAAGAGCTATCGTATCATAGGCCACAAACATCCATCAGTCCCAGCAAAGCCCTACCCAACACACTCCTCTCTCCCTTCCCTGGAAGAAATAGTCTAGTCAAACTTTGTCCACACTCACAGTAAAGCAGGCTCCTCACCAAAAATGTGAGGACCACTCACTCTCTGAACTTACCCTCTGCATTTTTCTCTTAAAGCTAGTTTCTGAGAAGGTCACGTGAAGGAATACGTTAAGAGATACGCTAATCTAAATGCTTGTTGTTTCTCAACCAAACTCTCCTTGAGAAACAAAGCAACCACATCTGGGAAATTCTCTACAACACAAGAAAGGAGATGGATCTAGGCTGGGCGTTGCTACAGATGGTAGAATCAGGGTGTTTTCCTGGATTACCAAAGAGGTGCTATGCATTGTTCCCAGAAACCAAACAGCTTCAGCCCTTTCAATGGTGGCTTCACTTAAAAATGTCTTCCCTGCTGAAGTTTTCAAAACAGTATTTTCATAAGAACTCTATTTTCTTCTGTGAGCTAAGGCATTACAATGATAACTATACAGACTCTCAAATGACTGAAGCCATCATTACATTGTTATTATTTTTGTTTAGTTGCATCTCCATAGCAGCCCACATTCCCCGTGTGATTTGCAATTGTTTCTTTGTAATTGTGCTCACAAGATGTCCAGTAGGCAGAAGGAGTGACCACAATTAACAATTCTGGGTTGCCTAAAGGGGAACCAAGATAAGCAGAGATATAGACTTACCAGACTGCCATCACTGCTCACGGAAGATATATTCTGAGACAACTAAACTTTGGCTCCAATCTGGTCCTGTAGGAAGACCTTTATCTAAGCCTTTATCTAGGATGTCACTAATCTGCATCTCTTGTTTTTAGATATAGCACAGGGAGGAACAGATTGGGCAATAGAATCACAATTGGAGATTTTGCTTGTGCTATAGACGGCAATGATCACACAACTCACACACCCTACCTCCTCCCAGTCCCATGGTGGTAGATGTTGTTGTTTTTAAGGCCATGTTTCAGTGGCTCACCTTTCTCTCTTTGCCTTTTTTTCCTCTTCTTCCATCTGCTTCCTTTATTTAAAATTTACATGGCTTAAATGCCAACTAGGAACTCTGAAACACTGATTTGCTAAGAGTCAATCATTCTACCACCTGAATTGGGCTGGCCTCTATATTGCTGGAAAAGTTTCAAAAAAAAAAAAAAACAAAAAAAAAACCAAACAACAACAACAAAAAACCCAAACCAGACAAAGCTGATGCGTGTCATATGTAAGAATGTCTTCCTTTCCCCCAGCCTCATTTCTGAAATGAGCTCCTGCCCAGGGTGGGACTTTGGGGCAGCTATCCTTGCCCAGCTCTGACTTATCCCTAAGAAGGCCAGACTAAGTCTTTAGACTGTAGGATAGGGTCACTTTACCATGGCATGGCTGGGACTATTCAAAAGAGTAAGAGGACCCAGATTATTGTGGTCAAATGTCACTTTACTCTCTAACCCTGAGGCTGTCACTCCATACATACTCTGAGAGTCATGCCTTATTCAAACAAACCTTCCTCCTCTGGGGAGGGGGGGAGGGGGGAACCTCATTCTCCTTCAAACCCATTCCTTAGGGGTCAGTGACTACTAATTATCCAGCCAATCCATATGAAGCCCTGGAGTACAACAAACTAATTAAGCCAAAACACAAAGTACAGCTACAAAGCTCTTCTCCAAGTCTGTCTGTAATTCTGATTTAGGGATTTCTTTTTCCCTCCTACACCAAATACTTTTAGAATCTTGATAAGCTTCCTATTTTTCTCTTTTTCTGAGATGACATGTTTATAATGACAGACAAAAAGCAATAAATAGATGAGCCAAGTCCATAGCTACTAGAATCTTTGCAAATATTATAAACTGTCTTCATGTGGAATGAATACAGCATCAAGTACAATGAATATATAAAGATACAAAGTAGAATGACTTCCTGTAAATTCCCAGTGACGCAATCGTGGCCACACCTACTAAGGGCGACTATTATAAAAGACAGAGAAGCCTGACTCAGGTTTAAGTCTCCAGGCAGAAAGGGAGTCACCTCGCTGGCACTTGAGTTGGCAAAGGTATTGTCCTTATCACATCTCTGGCTGTGAAAATGTATTTTGTTTGCTCCTTGATTGTCCTTTCTCAAACAACATTCTGTAAAACTGTGGCCTATTCCTTTCTTCTTTTCTTGTTCTTTCCCGATTTGATGTGTGATCTAGAATCACAGATTTCAGAACATAATTCTCTCATTAGTGATAGGGAATCAAGGACCAGCTGAACAGATTCCTATAAGGATATCTATCCACACAGCTGAATCTTCCCCTGGAGGGAAACTCTGCTACCAAAAACAACCAGGCGAGAACTGCACAGGCAAATTCTGTATCTCCCTTGCCTCTACATATAAGGCAAATACCTCAATCAGATTGTTTTCATTTTTTTCTCTTATCCTGGCCAACCACTGACTGAATGCCTACTATGTGCGTGTATGATACAATGGGTTGGACACACGGTGCACCAAGATAAACATTCAAAAAGAAATTTACAAACTAGTAGAAGAGGCCAAAGATACAAAAATAATTCAAGGGAGTAAGAAGGAAATGCTGAGTGTGGGACAAGTCACTCAGTGAAGTTTCTCAAGAAACACCATGGGATTCAGAGACAGGCTGTGTTAACCAGCCCGTGCTGTTGTCTGTTGCAGAAGTCAAGATGGCCAGAGTTCCTGACATGTTTGAAGACCTGAAGGACTGTTATAGGTAAGAATCGCATTTTAATTTTTTTTAATTTAATGAGGGTCTCAAGGCTCATTAGAATCCAGCTAGAAGTTAAAGTGACAAGCCAGGATCCAGGTTGGCAGAGGCTATGGAGATGCACATTGACCCTGAAGTCAGGGCAGGTCCAGAGAAGGCCCAGGAAGATTAAGCATCCAGCTAAAATGGCCAGGAGATGGACATTATGGAAAAATTGTTTTTGAAATGTAGTGAGTCCTACCTAAGTATCAACATCAACTTGGACACTCTGATGATGTATGCTCAGATACAGTAGTGGGTTTTACTGAACTGTTTGAGAGCTAATTCATTCTCAGGAGAATTTGATCCCAGTCAGGAGGAGGAAACAGCCCTGCAACAACTTGAGCACAGAGAGAGAGAGAGAGAGAGAGAGAGAGAGAGAGAGAGAGAGAGTCAAACTTCATTCTGATACAAAAAAAAATGAATGAACTAACATATTCTCATTACATCCAATAAATAATGTTAACTAGACTACAAAATAGTACCTGGATATTTTGTCAAGTATAAATTATTAAATCTGAGTGAATGTGTGAAAACAGTATATGACAAAGGGATCTTGGTGGTACTTCAAAAAGAGCTTAGCAGTCTTCTTTGAAATTCCATTAACGACCTTAAATTTATTAGCCATGCCAAATTTTTATAAAGCACAAATAAAGTACAAAGCTTTTCTAATATTTACTAATTTCAAATTAATGATATATGAGTTACTGTGCCAAGACATGAATGTGTAGAAATCTTTTACTGTGAATAGACATGAATGTGTACAAATTTTTAATTTTCAAAGATAAGAGTAATGATCTTCTGTGGGTACATATGTGTGTTTGTGTGTATGTGTATGTGTGTCTGTTCATGTGCTCAAATAGCTGTACAGCCATTTCCACTTCCTGACTAGGATCAAGTTCTCTTTAAAACCCACTACTGTATTAGAGCATATGAACTCAATAGAGTCTATGCCTAAATCAGTATTGATGAATGTGTATGTATTACTCAAAGTTAATTTGGTTTGTCAACTATGATGCCCAGTGATATAAAATAATGAACAGAATTACAGTCTCCTCATCTTTTCTTTTTTTAAACAGTGAAAATGAAGACTACAGTTCTGCCATTGATCATCTCTCTCTGACTCAGGTAAACACATGATTATCATTCTTATGGGTCTGGGTTTTTTCACACAGTAGTTCCTCAACCAAAAAAACACTGCAATGGGCTGAGTATTATGTACTCTTGTTTTACCCTCACTAGAGATCCAGAATACATTTCCTTATTATCAGTGAGATCACATGCCTCTCTGTACTAGTAGTTGCTGGCATTCTTCATGTTAATTGCCTTTTTCAGAACAGAGAAAAACTATCAGAAGGCCTGAGAGCTCCTGGGTCAAACTTCTACTGTTAGTTTTGTCACCCTGAGATAGTCCCTTCAGTCCTTCTCACTGTGGGGGGTCTGTCTCCTAACATGACATGTTGTAGTCATTCTCTGACACCAGAAGTTAAGAATGGTCCCCTAACAGCCCATAAATATGAGATAGAGGAAGCAAACCAAGAGAAAGTGAGAATTTGCATATCCTCACCAAGTTATTTTATTTTGTTTAGCTATGATACTCGCTATAAAAGCTGCTCCAGAACAAACCTAGGCATCATGGGGGATTACCTTCTACATATGGTTAAGTCCCTGATATTAAGTGGCCTAGTATTTGTATATAACCTGCTCACATCCTCCACTATACTTTAAATTGTATCTAAATGATACAGTTTAATTAATTGTGTGATTCCTAACACAATGCAAATGCTATGTGAATAATTATTATACTCTATGAAATAGTTATATTTTTTAGGAAAAAATTACAAGAAAATGTCTGTACATATTCAGTACGAATGCAATTTATTTTTATAAAACATTTTCAATCTTAGGTTAATTGAATTTGGGGATGCTGGCAGGGGATACAGCAGGCCAAATATATTTCTAAGGTATTTTGAGCACTCTCGAGTACATGTCAAACCTCTTGACGGGGAACTCAGTGGAAGGCTATCACTCAGTAGAATCATGTGTTGACCTATTTCATTACAATACTTGATTCTTGAGCCTAAAGACGGGTGGAAAGTCTTCCCAAGAAATCATATCATTTCAGGGAAATCTAGGAAAGGGAAGGAAGGAAGAGGAAAGAGAGGAAGGGACTGATGAAGCATGAGTTAGTTACCACAGCCCTGAATGGACAGCCTCTCACTAAGTGTGCAGGACAAACACGACTGGAAGGAGTCTCCTGTCAAGGTATAGTCAGCATCTCAGATGCTGTTTTCTTTTCTTACATTTAGAAATCCTTCTATGATGCAAGCTATGGATCACTTCATGAGAACTGCATGGATGAATTTGTGTGTCTGAGAACCTCAGAAACTTCTAAGACATCCAAGTTCACTGTTGAGGAGAGCCTGGTGATGGTGGCAGCAACATCAAACAGAGGGAAGATTCTGAAGAAGAGACGATTGAGTTTCAACCCAGCCTTCGCTAGTAATAATCTGGAATCCATGACCAATGATTTAGAAGGTAAGGGGTACAGCACAATATCATTGTATTTTTCAGTCTTAAGTAAATGAGGACAATAGAATATGAGGGAGTCAGAACAACAGAGAAGAACCAGTCTTTAGTTTGATAAATATAACAAAAAAAAATTTCTGTTCTCCTACAGTTGGGGGATATTAGCAATACCCTGGATCTAGAATACTTGCTCATGGGTTCATTTCTTGGCCACATCATGAAGGTTACGTAAAGGTCCTTGGAGAGAAAGCAATCATAGTCTGTTAGTGCGTGACCTCTGCTAACCGCGCCTCCTTAGTCATGTTACTTAATCTCTCTGGCCTTCAGTTCCCTTTACTATGAAACGGAGGTGACCAAAGTCCTACACCTCACTGGGTTCTTGTGAAGATTAAATGAAGCAATACTTCCAAACATCTAGACTAGAATAATGTCTGGTATGCAGGCACCACCCAAGAAATGTCAGCTGTTGTTATTACTACTGTTACCTTTGTAAATACTGCCAACACTACTACCTTATTAATAACCGCACTATCTCTAAGCCTCAGAACAATCTTCCATTCTCCCTTACATATGATGAAATGAAGCTCAATCTATAAGTGGGAACCCTCAGAGCTAACTCAGTCCACTCTGACTATATGAACTGTGGGGTTTTCTTCCATGTCTTTATTGTATATACCGCCGCAGGAAACATAAACCAAGTATTCATGTTAATAAGACACCTAGACAATAGCACATGTCTACCAGAAGATTTTAAAATAAAAGAAAGTATAAGAAAGAACATAAAAAAGCACTCATTTTTGCCACCAGAGCTTAACCCAGCCAACACTATGGTACATACTTAAAGTCTTTTCTGCAAACACACATGCCCAAAAACACACGTCTAACAGCATTAGGAGCATATTACATATAATCTCATATACAGCTTTTTTCACTTAGCAATATATTAAGGACATTTTACAGTACCAATTTTTCACCATTATAACTCACAATGGGTATCTACATCAATTTTGGCATCATTTACCTCCTTAGAATAGCTTCCTAGAAGTGAAATTACTCATAGCCTCAAGGTTCACGAAGCCATTGATGCATACACTTTCCAGAAAGATGGTAGACCTGTACCTTCAGTGCAAATACACATGTAACTTATGTATGATTGTGACATATATCATTGTGGTATATAATTATTAACATATTTGCTTTCATTTTAGAGTACATTTATTTTAAATATACATGGGGAACACTGATAGTCTTCCTGGTCACATAGAAACTTAGGGCCAGGTGTGGTGGGCCATACCTTTACTTCCAGTACTTAGAAAACCAGAGTTTGAGGCCAGCCTTGTCTACATAATGAGTTCCAGATCAGCCAGGGTTACATAGTGAGACTGTAAAAGACAAAAACAAAACAAAATGTAAAAGTTGTCAAAAGACTTTCTTTTAAAAAAATAAAGAAGGAAGGGAGAGCAGGAGGGAGAGAAGGAGGGAGGGAGGGAGGGAGGGAGGAAGGAAGGAAGGAAGGAAGGAAGGAAGGAAGGAAGGAAGGAAGGAAGACAAGGAAGAAAGGAAGAGTTGGAGAGATGGCTCAGTGGTTAAGAACACTGGCTACTCTTGTAGAGGACCTGGGGTCAGTTTCCCAGCACCCATGTGGTGGCTAATAACTGTTTGTAACTGGAGTTTCAGGGGGTTCCCTTTTCTGGATTCCATGAGCATTGTACAACACAGGGCACTTAAATACATGAAGGCAAAACACTCATACACATAAAATATAAATAAATAAATAAATAAATGTTTAAAAGATCAAATAAAGCCAGGCCTGGTGGCACATACCTTTAATTCCAGGACTCAAGAGGCAGAAGAAGGTGGATCTCTGTGAGTTCAAGGCCAGCCTGGTTTACATAGAAAGTTTCAGGCTAGCTGGGGCTATAGGGAGATCTTGTCTCAAAACAACCAAAAAATTAAATAAATAAATAATCAAATAAAATAGTTACCTAATGAACCAATTTACAAAGAAGTAAATAAATAACCATAAGACCAATATTAGAATCAAGTCTGCTGCTGATTGATTTCAACTCTTACAATTTCCTCATCTGGACTGGACTACTATCATTGTCCCTTCCAGAGCTACCTCTTGTGTTATAGTAGCTGTGTGTTATCTATATTTGTAACTAGGTATTAATCTGAACTTGTGATAATGACTTTAGAAACCATCCAGCCCCGGTCAGCATCTTACAACTTCCAGAGTGATGTGAAATACAGACACTTACGGACCGTCAAACAGGGATTTGTCCTGAATGATTCCCTGCAACAAAATATATATCGGGATGGAGACGATGTACATCTCAAAGCTGCATCACTGTCTGACCTGCAACATGAAGGTAAATGGCCAATGTGTCATGTTGCTTTCCCTGTCCTTTTATTTCTTTGCTTCTTTCAAATTTTGTGCATTCAAAGTGCAAGTTTATCTACATCCCTGGCTTTGCATAATTCTTCTAGAATAGAATGAAGCATATCACCCTCAGCAAAGATCCCTGAAAGAGACAGAAGTATTGTACACACCTGTGAGTTCCACCAGAGAGCAGTTCCCTACCTCTGAGATCACTAGGTAGAGCATAGAATTTTCTGATGTAACATCGCCCTGATTCTTGTAGATATTCTCATCCTCCAACTTGAACTGAGTATCAGAAATATTTAATGACTTACTCAGATTTACTCAGAAGCTAACAAGGATCCCTCACTATCTGTTAGAAAGCCCAGCAATCAAACTTACACCTAACAGTGAACTAGGAAGAGCCTTACTAACTTTGATAACACAGTGGTAAAGCAAAGCAGCCAGGAAGCTGCAATGTGATCTGAAGGATGAAATTCAGTGTCCATAACTTCTTGACACACAGTTCCAGTTTCCATAATGGACCTATTTTAGCTGCAGGAGATGTTATCAGTATAAAAAATTATTTTCAAAGACCCACAGAGGCAACTTTTCAATAAACAAGCAGGATTCTTTCTGGAAGGCACTGTATACACTTCAGTTAACATGCTTTATGCTCCCATACTTACAAATTGTTCTGTAGTCTATGTTCCTACTTATCTCACACAATTTCCCCCACATTTTGACTTAGTACATATAGTTTCTCCACCCCCTCCCCAGTTTTTGGCACTAGAGATCAAACCCAAGAGTGATGCATGCTAGGCTCTGTCACTGACCCACAACCCTAGCCCCTCCCTATATGTGCTGTGTTTTTCATTTCTCATGGCACTAGAGTAGTTAATCATTTGTCTATGCCTTCCTAGTGAATGCAGCAGACATTAGAAAGCATCCAATGACATAAATTCCTCTCCTGATCTCCAGGTATTTATTTACACCACAATTGGGGGCCTAATTTACACACACACACACACACACACACACACACACACACACTTGATTTTATACAAATAATAGTGGATTTACTTTCTTCCTGGCTCTTTCTTTGACAGTGAAGTTTGACATGGATGCCTACTCATCAGGAGATGATACTAAATATCCTGTAACTCTAAGAATCTCAAACAGTCAGCTCTTTGTGAGTGCCCAAGATGAAAACCAACCTGTGTTGCTGAAGGTCAGTTGTCTTCCATCTTAGTTGAATAAGCAGATACCCCTCCCAGGGTGGCACAGTCCTCTTCCTACCATAGTTCTCACCTGCTCACCTCACCCCATCTACCCTATCCTCAGAGACAATCCAAGGAAGGCTTTGTGAGCAAGGAGAAAGGATGTAGACAGAGGAAACGAGAGATGAGTTGCTTCTTCCCTTTTTCCTTTCCCTGACTGATCTTATTCATGTGCCCTCCCAAAGCATCCATTTATTCTGTTGATCACTATTGATATCTACTATCTGACCTACATGATACTAGGCATTAGGACAATGAGGCCAGCCTCCAAGAAACTTAAATAAACCAACTGAAGTCAGAGAAGATTAACCACCTGTTAACACAGGTGAAGCAAAAAGCTAAGAGCCAGGATTGAACCTTGGAGTTCTGACTCCAGTGCCTTGTTGATACTACCATTATCTCCCATCCCAGCCCCCCATCCTCTATAACACACGCACACATGCACACATATGCACATTATAGCATTAGACATTTTTTCCACTGATAAGAAGGTGATTCTTATTCAGTAAATGTGTAATCCAATGTCTCCCATCTCCACGTAGAATTCATGTGGGTGTCTGTATTTCTCTATCTGAGTCAAGTAAAATGAAAGTGGTATCTACTGAGTGGGGCAATAGCTTCATAAATTCAGCAAGCATTATTTACTGAAGGCCTTCTATTTTTCAAGTAGAATGTCAACAAATACGAAGACAGTGGTGAATCAAAGTCCCTAGCCTTGTGGGTCTTAGTCTTGTAGGGCCACAGACAATAGACAAGCCAAACATTTAATCAACAAAAAGTGTAAGATGCTGTATGGAAAATGGACAGAATGCTAAGAGACAAAAAATGGTTCCCTGAGAGAGGAGAGCTGCAAATAAGAGATGGGGGTGGGGCATCCTAAACAGAAGGATCTGAGTTCACTCAGCCCCTAGAGCTTCATAACTCAAAGGCCAACTGCAAGGCTAAGAGGAGCATTTGTGGCCCTGGTGCGTGTAAAGAGGAAAGATGTGCAGAGGTCTGTGCTTACAAGTATGTGCTTTTCCATTTCATTTGAAACACAATGAAAAGCCACCAAAGAGATTCAGAGAGTGTGAGGTTCTGGTATCGCATATTTCTTAAATGGGGAATAGACCAGAAGAGAAAACAGAAAGCCCAATTAGGAAGTAAGGTCTGTTAGAACAGCAGAAGGGTGAGGGAAACAGGCAAAAAGAAACAGATTGGTTTATCGTTTGGAGATAAAACTGACAAAAAAAAATTGGGCAAAGCTAGAAGACAAATAGGTTTGAGAGGAAAAATTCTTGCTGATATTGAAAACTCAAGGGAATCTGAAAAGGATATTTACTTGTAAATTTAAAAGAGTAGAAAAAAAGCATCTCAGCATTTATTTTTTTCATGAAATTACTGTTAGATTCTATTCACATTTACAGGGAGAGGACTGTCTAAAAAGTCTGCATTTAAAACATTCAGTTACTAATAGATCAGAGAAGGACTTTTGCGTTTCAGCTTTTTTGGAACCATTTTTGCTTTTGTGTGTTTTGTATATGTGTATATACTTAGCTTTCAGTTTCTGACTTAAATCTTAATGCTAGACTGTTTTCCTAAAGGCATCGTTTTCATACTTAGAAGTCAGAATGTTTAGCAATCTTAGACTCACCAGTGCTCAGATTTGATGCAGAGTGCTCTATGCCAGTGTTAAAGGCAGGACACAGACAGTGTTTTACTCCATCTGTCTGGATACAGAGAGACACTGGTATCATTGACAGTCTTCACAATTAATTTAGATTTCTCTCCAACCAACTAAGGATATGGACCCTTATGGATAGACTGGGCCATACATCAAACAGGCACTAATAAATGCTTGTTGAATGAAGAAATGAAGAAACCTGAATCATATCCAATTCACAGTTCTAAAGTACTGTTTCTCATGAAGGCCAGAAGGCAAAGGATTGAATTGTTCTTTTTCTAAAAACTTCATGTCCTTTAACAGAATTCTGCTTATTACAGGAGATGCCTAACACACCAAAACTCATCACAGGTAATGAGACCAACCTCATCTTCTTCTGGAAATCTACTAGCTCTATGAACAACTTCGAATCGGCTGCCTATCCAGACCTGTTTTTTGCCACAAAAGAGCGAGATCAGGTGCACTTGGCAAGGGGCCTACCCTCTATGATAGATTTCCAGATACCATAAAACAGGCCTTGTTTCTGTAGTCTACTTACTTGAGAAGTGTTGACAATCTGTATGTACCATGTACAGGAAGAAATCAGATTCTTCACTCTTAGTCATATGCTGACCATGTGATGAGCCTTTGTATTTCTAAATGAATGTTTACCCTCTTTGTAAGAGAAGAACACAGCCTAATGGAATCAACACTGACATATATTATTTGTTATTTAAAGAACACCCTATACTTTAAACAGTGCCAATCATTTTAATTATTATTCTTTATGACATTCTTAGGAGGGCCTGAGCTACTGACTACGGTGATCAAAAAGACTCTACCTATATTACAAATGGGTTAACTAAGGCATAAATTTAAAAGTACACTTAACTGCAGTTGGAATGAGAAGCCATAGACCCATGATTTTAATCTGTGTGCCTTCTGCTTCCAAGTTGCTGTCAGACCCTTAATCAAGTAGGATAGGGACCTCAGTATTATAGTTTTCAAAAGGAAGGTGATAATAGCTACATCTTTCCTACCTCAGTGGGTTTTTTATACCAGTCGGTGAGCTCATTTTAGTAAAATGCCTCCTGAAACTGAACCTCAGGAAGACAGAGCAT